CCATGTATCGCGAGATTTTGAGTGCAAACCTCCTTCCATCAGCAAGGGCATTGAAGATGAAACGTGGCTGGGTCTTTCAACATGACAATGATCCCAAACATACCCGCCCGGGCAATGAAGGAGTGGCTTCGTAAGAAGCATTTCAAGGTTCTGGAGTGGCCTAGCCAGTCTCCAGATCTCAACCCCATAGAAAACCTTTGGAGGGAGTTGAAGGTCCGTGTTGCCCAGCGACAGCCCCAAAACATCACTGCTCTAGAGGAGATCTGCATGGAGGAATGGGCCAACATACCAGCAACAGTGTGTGCCAACCTTGTGAAGACTTACAGGAAACATTTGACCTCTGTCACTGCCAACAAAGGATTTATAACAAAGTATTGGATGAACTTTTGATATTGACCAAATACTTATTTTCCACCATAATTTGCAAATAAATTCTTTCCAAATCAGCCAATGTGATTGTCTGGATTTTTTTTCTCATTTTGTCTCTCATAGTTGAGATCTACCTATGATGCCAATTACAGGCCTCTCTCATCTTTTTAAGTGGGAGAACTTGCACAATTGGTGGCTGACTAAATACTTTTTTGCCCCACTGTACATACAATGATCAACACAAATGAGTACACCCCAACAGATTTGTCAGGAAACTTTTACTTTCAACTCATAATCAACATTTTCTATGGGACACTCTACTACAAAATACTTCCAGAAATGCAGGCTGTGACGGAGAGCAGAAATATTATTTTATTTTTGTGTTGTTTGTTGAACTCAACAAGGGTGCCAAGCAGTCAGTGTGTCTGTTTAATTAAATCTAGGAGGTCCTATGCCCCACAGGGGGTGAGAGATGAGTTTGATCTCAGCAGGAAGCACAGACAGCATGGTGTCCTGTGACTGTGAAAAGCCAGACCTGTCAGCACTGGGGGCTTGAGGCTTGGTCAAATTGAAAGGACCATATAATGTACCTATGGGGGGAGAAAGTCTCTCAGAATGTGCAGAGCTTGTCAGGATGGACAGAGCAGCTCGTAGCTGCAGGCCTCGCTAGGAGATGCATTGAACTGTGCTTTGCTTGTTGCAATGCTGGGACTTGTTCTACATTGTGTGGCTTTCTGGACACTGGGACTGCTCTCCTCTCTGCTCTTCCTCCTTGCTGTGTGCCAACCCCTGCGCTGAGGATCCAACCTGAACTTAACCCTTGCCTGCCAGAGTTCTGCCTCCTTGCTGTGTGCCAACCCCTGCATTGAGGATTCAACCTGCACTTAACCCTTGCCTGCCAGAATTCTGCCTCTCTGCTGTGTGCCAACCCCTGCACTGAGGATTAGATCTGGACTTAATCCTTGCCCACCAGAGTTCTGCCTCCTTGCTGTGTGCCAACCCCTGCGTTGAGGATTTAACCCTATTCTGCCCAAAACCTTTGCCCGTGGACTCCAATCTCTGCGGTGCCCTGCCGCTCTGTCCTATTGAACTATCAGCCCCCTGTTGTCTCATATTGCCATCCTGAGAACCCTGCTGTATTGCTGTGTCTTGTGTTGTTCTGTGGACTAGCTGTTCGATTGTCTGTACCCCCGAGAAACTCCCCAATAAATGGCCACGGGTCCCGTGTGATCTGGCTCCATGTGCTCTCTCTCTGTGCTCCGAATTTGTCACACAGGCCATTGATTGCAAACAAGATTTGTTAATTTGCACACGCAATAAATTCATTCAAGACCATGTTTCAAAAATTAATACACCCCAATGAAAGTCTTAGGAGCAAAGCTAAATTCTAGACAACAAAATCTTAATTAACCCCTTCACGTCGGCCGCACACAAATGTGCGGCCTCCCGGCATCTGGGCCTAGACGCCGAGCGGCCGCACATTTCCGTTCATGTAACAAAAAACATGTGCGGTACTCACAGAAAGGTCCCAGTCCGCTCTTTCGATCGGGACCTTTCCCAATCATGTGACCGCCATGACGACGCGTCACGGCGCTCACATAATCCCTAAACTACGCCCCGCCTACCGGCATCTGAAACTCTTAAAGGGCCGGGAGGCACTGGCGGGAAGGGGTTAACAAGAATTCAACTACAGGTGAGTCTAATTATTCATTAAACAGGTGTCCAGCAGACAGCTGATGCTTTACTTAAAGAAAACCCCTTCCCATTTCATGCTGTCAGCAATAGCACCACATGGAACAGAAATGTCACAAAGCCTGAGAAAGAAAATAATTTCTTTACACAAGAAAAGCGAAGGCTACAATAAGATCAGCAAAGCTTTACTTATCAATCAGAACACTGTAGCAAAAATGATACGAAAATTTAACAAGAATGGAACTGCAACCATCTCACAGAGATGTCCAGGCTGTCCTCGGAAGTTAACACCTCAACAGGAGCATCTTCTAATTAGAAGGGTTGAAGAAAATCGCAAATCAAGTTCACTGCGGTTAGCTAAAAAAGAAGAATGCCAAACTGGGGTGATTGTTTCCCGTGACACAATACAGCATACACTGCAGAGGACTGGCATGCATGGGTGTTGTCCATGAAGGAAGCCTCTTCAAAAGTCCATGCACAAAAAAGCTGCCTAGAATTTGCCAGGACCCATGCTGAAAAAGAAGAAGACTACTGGGATTCTGTACTCTGGAATGATGAGACCAAGATAAAGGTTTTTAGAACTAATGACTTTAAAACTGTATGACGTTGCAAAGGTGAGGAGTACAAAAAAGAATGCATGGTGCCTACAGTGAAACATGGTGGTGGCAGTGTCCTTCTGCGGGGCTGTATGAGTACTGCTGGTGTTAGGGAGCTGCATTTCATTGATGGTATCATAAATTCACAGATGTACTGCTCTATATTGAAAGAGAAGATGCTACCTGTCAGGGCTCCCAGGTATGACCAGAGATGTGTGACTGACGCAGGGAAACGCAGACTTCAGATATGTGATTAACAATGTAATTTATTAACACTAACAATACAAACATAAACGCAGTGCAATACTAAAAATAATACAGTGCAAACAAACCAAACCAACCACCCACAGATAACAGTACATACAAGCAAGCGTCGTCAGGCAGGCCGGGTCAATATCAATTGGGCAGGTAGGTACAGGGGGAGCAAGCGGAGAATGGTCGGGGTCACAGGCCAGGTTCAGCAGGTAGCAAGCAGCGTAGTACAGAGGGTCAAGCAGAGGGATGGTCAGGGTCACAAGCCAGGGATCAGAACAGGTAGCAAGCAGCGTAGTACAGAGGGTCAGGCAGAGGGATGGTCAGGGTCACAAGCCAGGGATCAGGACAGGTAGCAAGCAGCGTAGTACAGAGGGTCAGCAAAGGAACAGAAACAGGATGCAGGACAGATACAGGGCCCAGGACAAACACACACCAAGGCAGAGTCTGTGGGTCTGGCCATCCCTTAAATACCCCAGCATAATCAGTTCCAGGTGTTAGCTGGCTGCAAAGTTGAGTCTCTGATTGCTGGGAGCACCCGCTGGCCAGCCCTGGTACTGCAGATCAAAAGGCAGGTGAGTCCCACCATTGCTGGCCAGTCCATTCCTGACAGTACCCCCCCCTCAAGGAGCGGCCTCAGGACGCTCCAAACAGTCCTAGCTGGGAAAAATGTTCCACCGCCCGGGTCTGGTAACTGGCGGGATATCAAAGACTGGCACACCTGGCAGGACTCCGGGCAGCGGTACACCAGGCAGAGGCACATCGGGCTGGACAGCGGGCAGAGGCACATTGGGCTGGACTCCGGGCAGAAGCACATCGGGCAGAGGCACACCGGGCTGGACTCCGGGCAGAGGCACACCGGGCAGACACCGGGCAGAGGCACATCGGGCAGAGGCACATCGGGCTGGACTCCGGGCAGAGGCACATCGGGCTGGACTCCGGGCTCCGGGCAGAGGCACATCGGGCTGGACTCCGGGCAGAGGCACATCGGGCTGGATCCGGGCAGAGGCACATCGGGCTGGACTCCGGCAGAGGCACATCGGGCTGGACTCCGGGCAGAGGCACATCGGGCTGGACTCCGGGCAGAGGCACATCGGGCTGGACTCCGGGCAGAGGCACATCGGGCTGGACTCCGGGCAGAGGCACATCGGGCTGGACTCCGGGCAGAGGCACATCGGGCTGGACTCCGGGCAGAGGCACATCGGGCTGGACTCCGGGCAGAGGCACATCGGGCTGGACTCCGGGCAGAGGCACATCGGGCTGGACTCCGGGCAGAGGCACATCGGGGGACTCCGGGCAGAGGCACATCGGACTCCGGGCAGAGGCACATCGGGCGGGCGGGGACTCCGGGCGGGAGGCACATCGGGCCGGGGAGCAGGCACCGGGCAGAGGCACATCGGGCTGGACTCCGGGCAGAGGCACATCGGGGGCTGGACCCGGGCAGAGGCACATCGGGCCCCCAGGCGGGGAAGCAGCAGGCAGCGGGGACCACCGGGCGCAGCAGGGGCGACCGGGGCACCGGGGCCCCGGGCGGGCGAGCATCGGGCACCGGGCCCCGGGCCCCCAGCGGAGCAGCAGGCACCGGGCCCCCGGGCGGAGCAGCAGGCACCGGGCCCCCGGGCGACAGGGGGCCCCCAGGCGACAGGCATCGGGCCCCCAGGCGGGGCGACCGGCATCGGCAGGCGGGGCGGGCGGGCCCCCAGGCGGGGCGACGCATCGGGCCCCCAGGAGGGCGACAGGCATCGGGCCCCCAGGGGGCGACAGGCATCGGGCCCCCAGGCGGGGCGACAGGCATCGGGCCCCCAGGGCGGGGCGACAGGCATCGGGCCCCCAGGCGGGGCGACCGGCATCGGGCCCCCAGGCGGGGCGACAGGCATCGGGCCCCCAGGCGGGGCGACAGGCATCGGGCCCTCAGGCGGAGCGGCGGGCGCCGGACCCCCATGTGGAGCGACAGGTCTCGGGCCCTCAGGCGGAGCGGCGGGCGCCGGACCCCCAGGTGGAGCGACAGGTCTCGGGCCCTCAGGCGGAGCGGCGGGTGCCGGACCCCCAGGTGGAGCGACAGGTCTCGGGCCCCCAGGCGGAGCGACTGGTCTCGGGCCCTCAGGCGGAGCGGCGGGCGCCGGACCCCCAGGTGGAGCGACAGGTCTCGGGCCCTCAGGCGGAGCGGCGGGCGCCGGACCCCCAGGTGGAGCGACAGGTCTCGGGCCCTCAGGCGGAGCGGCGGGCGCCGGACCCCCAGGTGGAGCGACAGGTCTCGGGCCCTCAGGCGGAGCGGCGGGCGCCGGATCCCCAGGTGGAGTGACAGGTCTCGGGCCCCCAGGCGGAGCGACAGGTCTCGGGCCCTCAGGCGGAGCGGCGGGCGCCGGACCCCCAGGTGGAGCGACAGGTCTCGGGCCCCCAGGCGGAGCGACAGGTCTCGGGCCCTCAGGCGGAGCGGCAGGCGCCGGACCCCCAGGTGGAGCGACAGGTCTCGGGCCCTCAGGCAGAGCGGCGGGCGCCGAGTCATCTGGCACGACAGTGGGCTCCGAGTCAACTGGCATGACCGCTGGCACTGGGTCAGGCATTGGATCGTCTGGCTGGACAGCGGGCATCGGGTCACCCGGCATCAGGTCATTTGGCTCGACCGCGGGCACCACATCATCTGGCAAGGCAGTGGGCTCCGAGTCAACTGGTATGACCCGCGGGCACTGGGTCAGACATTGAATCGTCTGACTGGACAGCGGGCATCGGGTCACCAGGCATCAGGTCATTTGGCTCAACAGCGGGCACCGCGTCATCTGGCAAGGCAGTGGGCTCCGAGTCAACTGGTATGACCGCGGGCACTGGGTCAGACATTGGATCGTCTGACTGGACAGCGGGCATCGGGTCACCAGGCATCAGGTCATTTGGCTCAACAGCGGGCACCGCGTCATCTGGCAAGGCAGTGGGCTCCGAATCAACAGGCACGACAGTGGGCACCGGGTCATCAGGTACCGGATTGTCTGGCTCGACAGCGGGCACTGGGTCACCAGGCATCAGGTCATTTGGCTTGCCAGCGGGCACCGCGTCATCTGGCAAGGCAGTGGGCACCGGGTCACCAGGCATTGGATCGTCTGGCTCAACAGCGGGCATCGGGTCACCAGGTATGACAGCGGGCACTGGGTCACCAGGCATCAGGTCATTTGGCTCGCCAGCGGGCACCGCGTCATCTGGCAAGGCAGTGGGCACCGAGTCACCAGGTACGACAGCGGGCTCTGAGTCAATTGGCACGACAGCGAGCATCGGATCAGGTACCGGATCATCTGGATCAACAGCGGGCATCGAGTCAACTGGCCCTAATAGGATCATCAGGCTGGATCAGTTCATCATGCTGGGTAGAGGCATCAGGCTGAATGCCGGCGTCCGGCTGAGTAGAGGCTTCAGGCCGAGTAGAGGCTTCAGGCCGAGTAGAGGCTTCAGGCCGAGTAGAGGCATCATCGAGTAGAGGCTTCAGGCCGAGAGGCTTCAGGCCGAGTAGAGGCTTCAGGCCGAGTAGAGGCTTCAGGCCGAGTAGAGGCATCAGGCCGAGTAGAGGCATCAGGCCGAGTAGAGGATTTCAGGCTGAACCACGGAAGGCAGGCTCACCGGTTTGGATACTGGCAGGATGGTATTGGTTGGAAAGAATTTTCGCTTTTTTTTTCTGGTTTTAACTACTGGAGCACTGCAAGTAAACGCAGGTCTGCAAACGAATGGAGCAGCTGGAGACAGAGAAGAGCTGGAGGATGGAACAGGAGAGGGAGCAGTTGCTACAGAGGGCTTTTTTACAGGGTTAAAGGCAGGATAGGTGCAGCGAGTGGGAACAGGGGACTGACATGCGGTAGATAGCCAAGTATACTGGGCTGTAACTGGAGGAGCTGTTGGGAATACAGGAGAAGAGTTAGAAGCAGGACTGGGTTTTTGTAAGCTGACTGAGGCTGGGTGCAACAAGTCTGTCCATGTCTGCAGGAGGGGTTGAAACAAAGCTGAGCTTACACAAAGCCTGTCTGGTCAATGACTGCACTGCGTTTATACAAACTCTTAGTGTCTGTGGTGAACATGTGGAATAACGTTCCAGAAAGTAACCCACATCATCCTCTAATAACCACACCAGGGACTCTACCTGGTCTGCACTAAATGGTGGCAAAAATTCATCCCTGCATTCGGGGGAACCAGATGAAACCAACTCTGCACAAACCTCAATCAAAGGCTTCACCTCAGAGAACTCTGTGCCCTGATCTACTAGAACATGAGCGAGCCGTATACATTCTAGCAGTTCATCCCGGGGATACTCCTTCAGAGTTTGATAAGCATACTCCCTGTCATCAAACACTAGCAGAGATAAATACTCAACCTCATCCAGATCCATCCTTCCCATCAACAAACCAAGATGGCTTCCCTGTGCAGCCACTTCTGGTCAGGATTGGCCTTGGTGTAATGTCAGGGCTCCCAGGTATGACCAGAGATGTGTGACTGACGCAGGGAAATGCAGACTTCAGATATGTGATTAACAATGTAATTTATTAACACTAACAATACAAACATAAACGCAGTGCAATACTAAACATAATACAGTGCAAACAAACCAAACCAACCACCCACAGATAACAGTACATACAAGCAAGCGTCGTCAGGCAGGCCGGGTCAATATCAATTGGGCAGGTAGGTACAGGGGGAGCAAGCGGAGAATGGTCGGGGTCACAGGCCAGGTTCAGCAGGTAGCAAGCAGCGTAGTACAGAGGGTCAAGCAGAGGGATGGTCAGGGTCACAAGCCAGGGATCAGAACAGGTAGCAAGCAGCGTAGTACAGAGGGTCAGGCAGAGGGATGGTCAGGGTCACAAGCCAGGGATCAGGACAGGTAGCAAGCAGCGTAGTACAGAGGGTCAGCAAAGGAACAGAAACAGGATGCAGGACAGATACAGGGCCCAGGACAAACACACACCAAGGCAGAGTCTGTGGGTCTGGCCATCCCTTAAATACCCCAGCATAATCAGTTCCAGGTGTTAGCTGGCTGCAAAGTTGAGTCTCTGATTGCTGGGAGCACCCGCTGGCCAGCCCTGGTACTGCAGATCAAAAGGCAGGTGAGTCCCACCATTGCTGGCCAGTCCATTCCTGACACTACCACTCTGTGCCCTTGGTTGGCGTGCACTTTTCCAACATGACAATGGTCCAAAACACACATCTAGGGCCACTGTTGCATTCCTGAAGAAGAACAGGATGAGAGCGATTCAGTGACCAAGTATGCTTCCTGATCTGAACCCAATCAAACTCCTATGGGGAATTCTGAAGAGACAAGTTGAGCATTACTCTCCATCCAGGCTTTAAACGAGGTTGTTCTTGAAGAATGGAAAAAGATAGATGTTTGAAA